GTTCAGGCCTTCATAGCCAGGCCTTAGTATGACATCAGTTTCTTTAGGAAACTGGGGGGATGAAGAGGACAGAAATATGCTCTCTCTTTTGTTTAGTGTCTAGAGCATAGACTATGGCAATATGTGGGATTTGGTTTTAATTCCTAACTCTTATCACTTAGTAGTTGTGCAGACTTGCCTTAACCTCCCTAAGCTTTGGTTTCTTTATCTGTCAAGTGAGGATAATATTTGTACCATCATTAGAGGTTGCCATGAGAATGAAATGAGATGATGTTTGTAAAGCACTTAGCACATGCCCAGCTCATACTTGGTACTCAGTGACTGCTAGCTGCTGTCCTTATTATCATCAGGACTTCAGTGAGTGAAGCCTCAGGATTCCTCCTGAAGACCCCAGGCCAGCCTGGTGAGTATGTCCGGCTGTGGGGAGAGAACAGGAGCAGGCGGGCTGCCCACAGCAGGGGACAAGACAAGAGAAAGCTCAGCAGACTGCAGGGAATGTGGTGGGTGAGGAAGTGGGGAGGAGTAGAAAGGGGATGGTCCCTGTTTCTGCCCTCTCCCTACCACTTTCTGCAAGATTTACCTTCACTCACTGTTCTATCCGCAGCCCCTAAGGGCTGTCACCACAGCCCTAGCCCACTGAGGGTATTCAAATTAATAAGTGTTTACTGAGATAGTGTTGGGCTTTGAGGTGCTGCTGGATGGGTCTCTCCCCCTAATGGTGCAGTGAAGGCTGTTAAACTGGTATACCCTCTTCAGAGGTCACAAAACCCTGTACCAGACTTTGGTGGGTGTTCTAGACACTACAGCAAATTTCCTATTTCTTCCCAGCTTCTTCTCTCCCTAAAGGAGAACATGAAGTTGTCACTCACTCAGATGAAGGAAGAGTGGCCTCCCTTGGTCTGGCCCAGCGAGTACCATTAAGAGAAACCCGAAAGATAACACACACCAAGGTGAGCTGGACCCCTCCTGGGTTAGGAGGTGGTAGGCACAGGAAATGCCTGGGGGAATTCCACAGTAGCAGCCAATACTAAGGATAGTGGGTTGAACCAGGCAGTCCTGGGCCTTGGGATGCTATCAGGTCTGGGTTTGCCCCACATGGGCCCAAGCCTGCTCTAGTGTGGGACTCTCTTTACCAGGTGTCTGGGGCCTGGGGTGAGAGGCCACAGACTGATATGTATCAGATTAGTGCGGAGGGTGAGACAGATCTGGCACTTGTATGCCAAAAGCATTCATCCCTTCACTCCAGAAATATTTACTGAGTAGCACCAGCCACTAAGTGCCAGGCACTGTTCTAGGATCTGGACAGATATAGTAAGCAAGTTCATATTCTAGAAGGGAGAGACAAAAAATAAACACATGTGAAATATATAGCATGTCAAATGGTGATAAGTTCTTTGTTAAAAAAAGATGATAATGATAGTGCCAAGGCACTGACGGGGATTGGGAGTAGGGGAGCTGCTATTGCCCTTTACAATAGACTGGTCAGGAGATTCTTATTGAGAAGATGATGTTTAAGTGAAGAGCAGGAGTTGAAGGAGTGAGCCATGTAGATATCTGGGAGGAGAACATTCCAGGGCAGGAGAACTGGGGAGGCAAAGGCCCTGAGGAAGGAATGTGCCTAGTGTGTTTGAGGGTCAGCAAAAAGGAAAGGCGAGATTGGAGGACATTGGGAAATGAGGTTACAGTGATGACAGGATCAGACTGCATAAGGACTTGCACACCAGTGTAAGTCCTTAGTTATTTCTTAGAATGAGTGGAAATCCATGGGGACAGGGGATGAACAAGGGAGTGATGTGATTTGACTTGGGCCTTATAGAATCATGCTGGCTGTTGTAGTGAGAACAAGACATAGAGAGGCAAAGGGGGACGGGGTCACTCTTCCCACCTTTTTCCTCTCCACAGGACAGCTGTGACTCCCATCTGATGCCTTCTGTTTCCCCTGTGGCCCAGCCCATGCCTGGTCATGAAGTGCCACCTTCTGTTACCCGTCCGTCACCCTTTGGGCGGGCTCAGCGTGTAACCTCCCCTGGCTTCTCAGCTCTGGTTTGTATCAGCAACTCCTAGCAGCTGGGCAAGGCCAGAACATTCTGGCTGGAAATCTCTGCTAGGTCTAGGTTTTGTCCTTACTCAGCCACCCATATCTCTCCCCAGAACTCATATTCAGTGTTGCGTCGTCTTGCTGTTCGGCCCAAAACCCGGTTCACACCCATGCCATCAGCCCCCAGAGTTCAGCAGGTAAGAGAGGGCACGGTAGGTACTGGTATTGGCCAGGGCTGGAGGAGGGAAGGGATGGATGGGTACAGGGGGAGTTAAAACAGTCAAGGAGAGATTGGGTCCCATCTGTGGGTGCTAGGCCTTGCTGATATCTCACTTCTGTCCCAGGCCCGATGGTTGAGTGGCCTCTCCCCTCAGTCCTGCCCTGAAGAGCCTGCCCTGCCCTGGGTAAGTGGGAGAAGCCTTTCTGGGCTGAAATCCATCACTCTGTCCTCTTGGCCTAGAGGTCTAGCAGTTGAGGCAAATGTGCTCTCTGGAAAAGCTATCTACATCTCCAGCACTCTCGGCTTCTCTGCTGCCCTAATCAAAGTCTAGGGCCTCTCAGTCAGGGCTTTGATCCCTTCTTCATGAGGGTGGGACTCAAGCTAGCCTTTTTGCTGCCCCAGCCTGGCTTCCTCATATGCTTCCTCCTCTATGACAGGAACAGATTGCAGTGCGGTTGTTTGACCAGGAGAATTGTATAAAGTCGCTGGAGGGACCTGCAAAGCCACCTGTGGCCACCCCTTCTGGACCCCACCCCAGTAGAACCCCCCACCTCCAGGAGTTGAAGATGCAGGTGGATGTGTGTGCTCAGCAGCTTTGACATCTGATGGGCAGTATTCAGGGATGGGGAAGGGAGAAAGGAGAGGAGGTTGGGGTATGGGAAGAGGACAGTGGGAGTAAACTACTTAAACCTACATCTTAATGTCACACTGGGGTATTCTCTCCCACGACAGCGCATCGGTATCCTGCAGCAGCTGTTGAGACAAGAGGTGGAGGGGCTGGCAGGGGGCCAGTGTGCCCCCCTTAATGGAGATACCCCTCTGGATATGGTGGAACTTCAGTCCCTGCTGACGGAGATATCTAGAACTGTGAATGCCCCAGAGCATAATTCTGGGACGTCCCACCTTCCTGGACTGTTACAACACCCTGGGCAGGCAAAACCCTGCCCTCCAGAAGAGCGTGGGGGACCACAGCCCTGCTCTCCAGCACAGCCAGGGCCCACAGAGTCCTACTGTAGGACTGAGCCTGAGGTCCCAGAGCCCTCTGCCCGGGAACACCTTGAAACATCAGAGCCCTGTCCTCTAGCAGAGCCGGAACTACTCCAGCCCAGCCCCCAGGGGCAGGCTGGACCCTTAGAGCCCTGCCCTAGGATAGAGCCTGGGACATCAGAGGCCTGCTCCCTGGGTCCTAGATGTCCAGAATGCAGCCCACCATCCTGCTGCAGTCAGGGGGCTCCAGCGACCACCAGCCTGATCTTCTCTTCCCAACACCCACTTTGTGCCAGCCCCCCTATCCGCTCACTCCAGTCTCTGAGGCCCCCAGCAGGCCAGGCAGGTAAGGAGTTGGTTGGGAAGGGGTGTGAACAAAGGAAGTCCTCATCTCTCAGTGCAAGCTGGGCCCCTGCCCTGCACCAGGTAACCCCTGCTTCCTTTCTTCTGCCTGCTACCCTGCTTTCCTGCTCTCCTCAGGAAAGGGGAGGGCACTGCACCTCTAGCCCCATGCTCCTAATTGGCTGGACCCTGGGAGAGGGAGGGGAACGGTGGGGAGGGGGAGTAGTATAGGACTCTAGAGTCTCTACACTCTCCATGGCCCTCAGGCCCCGGCAGTCTGGCCCCTCGAACTCTGGCCCTGAGGCAGCGCCTCAAATCATGTCTAACCGCCATCCACCGCTTCCACGAGGCTCGTCTGGATGATGAGTGTGCCTTTTACACCAGCCGAGCCCCTCCCTCAGGCCCCACCCGGGTCTGCACCAACCCTGTGGCCACGTTACTTGAATGGCAGGATGCCCTGGTGAGACTCCAACCCAACCCACAGCCTGGCTGTGTCTGCACAGCCAGCTTTGTAGAGGGAGGGGGCAGGGGCCAAGCCGGCCTTCTTTATGGAAAGGTCAGTGGGAAGGGTTGGCTACAGTTCAAGAATGTCTGGGCTGTGACACGTTGTTTTCTCTCTCCAGTGTTTTGTTCCAGTTGGTTCTGCTGCCCCTCAGGGCTCTCCATCATGAGGCACCCACTTCCACCCACCCCTGCCCTGCATTGCTTTTTACTTTTAGCTCTTATTTATTGTTCGTCTGCTCCATGGTACTGGGAGATGACACCCTTTTGTTCTTTAATAAAGTTTCTAAACTGTCTAAATGTCCAGCTGATAAGTTTTAAGTGTCCAATAGGCCAGAGATCATTGTTGTTCTCCAATGGCCCACATGGTGTCAGTGTGGTCCAGCTTAGACCCAGCCCTGGGCTCTCAGGATCCCCCAGGCACCGTCATCTAGAAGCGGTCCTGAAGGGAGAAGTCATCCCACTTCTGCCCAGGCCACCCCCTCTGCAAGCTCTGAGGATGCTGGGTGGCAATCACAGGGCCTGCTCTCCTTGTTCCTTGACATCAGTCCCTCTTCCAGGAGCCATCAGCTACTCCCTCCTCACCTAGATCTCCTCTTCTAGAACCCTCTCCATGCATTAGGCAGAAGAACAGAAGCACCAGACCTAGACCTTTGGACTCCTCCCTTGCTATTAGCATTCTGGTTGGCATCTTCCTCCACCTACAGTGTGAGGCCTGAAGCTCATACCACCGCCCCTCTTTCCCGTATCAGGGTAGAAGCCCTGGGCTGCCCGCTCCTTTTCCCCTCAGAGTCAGGCCTTGCCAGGAATTGACTAAACCTTTGCTTTTAGGGGGTGTGAGGGAAAGGGTCAGCCACTTTGCTCCCACTCTGCACCAAGTTAAGCAGCCACACACAATCCCCCAACCTCACTTTATTGGAAGAGGCAACAGCAGCTGTAGCCCCCGAGCCTAGCCCGGATAGGGGTGGAATGGGGACTGTACAGAATGAGTTTTAAATGCCAGGAAAGAGTTCACTGGTTCTTCCAGTTCACAGAAAAGCTGCCAAGGCTGGAGCCTGGAGCCTGAAAGTGGAGATGAGGGGAGGAGGGCATGGCAAGAGAAAGCTGTCATGACAGAACCAGCCCTACCCTGCCTTAATGTCTCCTCTCGCCTAGGTGGGCTCCTTCTGTTTCTGTTCTTTCCCTCCCAAGCTGCCAGGGCTTCCCTTCAGCTTTCTGAGCCCTGGCTAGTGAAACAGCTGCCCATCTCTGGACAAAAGAGACAGCCACCACCTCCACCCCGCTCTGGACCCGACTTTCACAAGCGCACAGTGGATGCTGGCAGTCCCTTGGGATGCCCTTCTGCTCCTCCTCCAGCCCCGCCCTCTCCCCTCCCCAGCGACTTCTACCCTTAAGCACCAAGTCTGTCCATTTAGGCCACCTCTGGGAGCAAGAGGGTCCACCCCACTGCCAGGTTCTCAAAGGATGGGGTGGTGCCTTGGGTGGGGCCAGCTGGAGATGGGTAAGGAAGGGAATGAAAGGGGGAGCGGGGCCGGAGCGGGGCGGGGGTGGGCAGCTCAGTCTGGGTAGATGATGAAGCCGGAGAAGGTGCTGTACTTGTTGGTGTTGCCACCGTGCACCTTCCCGCCGTCCAGCTTGATGAAGACCTCGTCTCCCACATCCAGGTGTAGAATGACGCTGTTGCTGGCGTAGTCGTAGTTCTGGTCTGCGTCCTGGGCAATGGCGCTGGCCCGGACCTAGCGAGGGAAGAGAACAAGACGCCCTGCTCATGTCCTGTGCTGAGCACGGGTAAGGGTAAGAGGGGTCGGCCCCAGTGGCGGCTGGGCGTGTGGAGGTAGCAGGCAGCGCGAGGGCAGCTGGCTGCAGCGCTGGGGAGGACAGGGAGAGGGTAGGAGACGGCTGAGCTAATCAGGCTTTGTCATTCACTAGCTATATGACTTGGAGCAAATTTCACACCTTCTCTGGGCCTCAATTTGAGCTATAACGTGAGGGAAAATAATAGAGCCTACCTCATAACATTGTTAGGATTAAATGAGTTACTATATGTGAAGTGTGTTTAAAACAGCGGTTTGCCTGTAATCCTAGCACTCTGGGAGGCGGAGGCGGGCGGATCCCTCAAAGGTCAGGAGTTTGAAACCAGCCTGAGCAAGAGTGAGACCCCCCCGTCTCTACTAAAAATAGAAAAAAAAGAAATTAATTGGCCAACTAAAAATATATATATAGAAAAAGTTAGCCGGGCATGGTGGTGTGTGCCTGTAGTCCCAGCTACTCTGGATGCTGAGGCAGAAGGATCGCTTGAGCTCAGGAGTTTGAGGTTGCTGTGAGCTAGGCTGACGCCTAGCCTGGGCAACAGAGTGAGACTCTGTCTCAAAAAACAAACAAACAAACAAAAGACAGTGGTTTGCATTCTCAAATCATCATTTTCATTTTCAAAATAAAATTAGCCTGTAGGATGATTTCTAACATTCCATACCTCCTCAGGCTTCCTGTTAGTTCTAAATTTGGGTTCGATTCCCCAGGTGATGGGGCATAGGTGTGTCTGTGCTTGTGCTGCAGGGCGCTGGCCATGGGAAGGTGCACTTGCGCTCTCGTCTGTGGGGAGCGGATTTCCCGCTGCTGGTGCTTGGACCGGGGGTTGCCTTCCACTGAGCAGGGAGCCAGGTCCTCCCCTCTGACTCACAGCAGTCTCCTCGGCCACCTCGGGCCGCCAGCCCCACTCTTCCCGTTCCACAGGGGCTGGTTATTAACTCATTAATTATTCATCATTATTCTAATCACTATTTACCGTCCCCAGGGCCGCAGCGCCCGCACAGCAGAATACAGAGTGGGAGCCGCGGGGGCCCCCTCCCCCTTGGAAACCAAAACCGACACACACTAGTTACACACTCGCCCCCTCCGCTTCCTCCCGGATACCCTGCATAGAGCAAGCACACCTACTCGGTGCCACACGCAGATAGACACCTCTATTCTCACCTTCACACTCACACACTCACATTAAGCATACACACACGACTACCTCACCCCTATACACATGCACACACTCTCTCACTCCCTTTGTCCGGGTTCCTGGGGTGATCCTGCTGGAAGGAGACCCCAAGGCAGGTCAGGGGACAGGCAGGCTCTGCAGTGGTAGCAGGGCTCTAGGCTCTATCAGGGAGGAAGCAGGCCTGGTGCTCCTGGGTCCCCACCACCTCCATTGCAGGGGAAAGGGGGCTTTCAGAGCTCACTGCTCAGCCCCAACCTCACCTTGAGGCCTGTGGGGGGAACCCAAGCACCTTCTCCTACACTACCCTACCCCATACCTGGGGCCTCTGAGTCCTGCTATTCGTGGTTCTGGTCCTCAAGCTGAGTCCTTGGGGTTATTCCCCCAAATCAAGCAGTGACTCCCACTCTGCTCACAGGGACAGGGAGTGGTGTAACCTGGAGACTGAAAGGTCCCTGGGGAGGACGTGGGGCCTAGAGGACCAGGCTAGGTCCTGTTTCTACTTGTCCCTTTCCTCCTTCCTCCTCCAAATCTGTTCCTTCCAGCCACCTGGCTGGCCCCTGAGCTGCCAGACCACTTCCCTCCTCTGCCTTTGTATTCAGTATTAGCTGAGAGCAAGACCCATTCTAGCTTGGTTGAGTGTTTTCTTTTCTACCTTTTGCTCAAAAAAAAGGGAAAAAAAATCCAAGCCCAAGCTGCTGAATGTCCTCGGTATAGGAACGGCTGCCAACTGCCCACTGCCTGAGACATGGATTCTACTCTAATTGGAAGGAGCTGAGGCTCCAGGTAGTTTGCCCAGCCCAAGGCTGGGAAACCTTTGAGGCAGGGGGACTGCCTCAAAAGAGAAGGTATCGGAAGATAGGACAGAAAAGAGGCTAATTGGCAGGCCTAGACTCTAGACACCAATGACGTTTGGTGTGGTTGCCCACAGTTGGAGTGTGAGGTCACAGCTACAGAGACATTAAGCTTTGAGTCCTGAGTTCTAATTCTGACACCATTTCTAATATGAAATGAGACCCTGGATAGATGGTTTTCTTTCTTTGGTCTCCAATTCCTTTTTCAGTAATGAAGCGATTTATAAGTTTTTGGCACCCTCCAGTCCCTGGATTCAATGACTCCATCACGGGGAAGGAGTCCAGTTGTGGAATGAGTGCGGGGAAGTTTGGAAAGCTACCAGTCGGCTGTGGGCTGGGTGGGGGAGGGGCATCTCACCTGTCCGTTCTTCATCAGGTCTGCCCACATGCTGGTGCCATCGCCGCCGCGCATGAGCACGTGGTAAGCGAAGAAGTAGACACCCGGCATGGGGCAAGTGAACTTGCCGCTGGCTGCCTCATACGCGTTGCCCACGTTAGTCACCACGTCGTCGAAGCGCAGCACCTCGTAACCTTCATGAGGCCGCCGCAGGCCAGCGTAGAAGGCAATTCGAGGCACGTAGCCAGCAGCAGGAACCACGCCTCCTGGACCTGGGCCGGGAGGACCAGGGGGACCTGGCCTGCCTGGCTCTCCTGGGGGCCCTCTGGGGCCTGGCGGTCCCGGGGGCCCCCGCAGGCCTGCCTTCCCCCGCCGGCCCACCTCTCCCTTGGTGCCCGGCGGGAAGGGGGGCACGGAAGCTGGCGCGCTGTCGGGCCCCGGGCCTCGGGCCCCGTGCGGGTCGCACACCATACGGCAACGACCCAGCATCTCGTAGTGCGCGGGCCCGCGGGAGCTGTGCACCAGCAGCGGGATGGCCACTAGCAACAGTAGCACCATGGCCACCCCGACGGCCGCTCCTGCCACCCGCTTGCGGCGGCTCAGCCGGGACGCGGCCAGGGCCAGCAAATCTTCCTCGCTCTTGGGCGCAATGGCGGCGGAGGCCTGGGGCTTTCCGCGGGCCCAGGAGTCGGTAAACCGGCTTGAGCCTGGATGTGGATTTTCCCCGACGGCTGCACTCGGCCCCCCGCCCGTGCGTGCTCCCGCCGCAGCGGTGCTGTTCCCCAAACCGTCCGTCAAGGCGGACGGAGGTGCCCCGTGGGTTATACGTCAAGCACAGCTCCCGACGGTTCAGAGCCTGTGGTCCTATATTACCCTCCTGTTCAGTCCTAACGATCCTGGGCACCTGAGATCCGCGGCTTCTCGGACGGCTGGTTTCTTACAGATCTCGGATGACTGCTCTCCAGACAGCTTCTTTATCACGGATGGTGGTGCCTGGGTCCCAGGCTACCCAGACCGATCGCTCCCGGGCTGGCGCGAGGCTGGAGCGAGGATTACTCCCCGCGCTCCGGACGTCCCGGACTCTCAGCTGCGGGTGGCGCCCACCGGACGCGACCTGCTCTTAGGTTTGGCGCTCTGGCTCTTGGCGAGCACTGACTCACCTTCTTACCCCAGCCGCGGCCCCGGCCCTGGCCCCTGCTAGAGCCCTGGCCGGGTATCTCCAGCGAGCGCTCTCCCTCTCTGCGTCCCTAACCTTCCTCCCCTCCCTCCCCGGGCGGCAGTGCGGGTGATGTGAGTCGCCGCGCGGCGGGAGTCTCTATAAGCGGCTGGAGCCGGAGCGACCCCTGGCGCCTAGAGCGGGAAGCGCGGGGGCGGGGCAGGCAACGGCCCCCACCCACGTCCCCCGGCCTCTGGGTTCCTTCCCGGCTCTGAGCGGGTTCTGCAGGGTTTCGCAGCACCCCACCCTATGCTTACTTTCACCCTTTACACTGAGTTTGGCACTCACAGAACCCAGAGGAAACCAAAAACAGCGGCGGTATAAAGAGGGAGGGGTCGAGATACAAACAGAGAAAGAGGTAGCTTCCTGAGCTAAAATAAAGGGGCGGGGGACCTCACAAACAAACAAGAAACAAAACAAGAAGGGCGAGAAAAGATAGAAATTCGCCACCCCACGCCCCGCAATGCCCGTGACCGAATGACATGGTAAAGGGCTCAACGTATACTTGTTGGCCTGAACTGGAAAAGGCAAATCTCCAGCCATCCCCACCCCACCCCGTCAGTGTTGGGGGCGCCGAGCAGAGCCGTGTGTGTGTGTGTGTGTGTGTGTGTGTGTGTGGAGAGAGAGAGAGAGAGAGAGAGAGAGAGAGAGAGAGAGAGAGAGAGAAGAGGACAGACCTGGGGGAGCGAGCAGGAAACAGACAGGAAAGCACAGAAGGAGCGACAGAGAAATCAAAGAGACGGAAAGCCAGATAGAGATACAGAGACAGAGACAAAGCTTGGAAAAGAGACTAACTGACAGCCCCAGAGGGGAAGAGGGAGAGACAGAGACGGAGAGAGAGAGACGGGAGCTGAGACAGGTTGACAGATCGAGAGAGAAATGTAAATGGCGCGCTGCAGAGAGACACCCAGGTCCGTGTTTGGACTCCAATGTGACATATCAACTGTGGGAAGACGCGGGGGCAGGGCGGTCCTGCGAGCAGAGTGGTAGGCTCTGGGCCTGTGCATTGTGACAGTGTGCTGGAAAGTGTGAAGGTGGCCATGGGATCCTGGCCTTGTGTGTTCCTGGGTGAGTGGGGTTTCGGATTGTATGTTGTCTTTGTGTATGTATGTGTGAGGGCTGTTTCAAAGGGGACCTTTGTATTTGTCTTCCTCTTAGTCTCTAAATTTGGGGCCCCACAAATGCCATTTCTCCTACCTCAGGACTGAAGAGCAGGGAGTCTACTGGGGAGAAAAAAAGAGTCAGAAGACAGCTCTAGTCCTATTCGTCCAGTCCAGCCTACCCCCACCTCCACCCCACCCTAGTCCTAGACCTGTCCAGCCCCAGTGGTCTCTGCCCCTTCCTCAAGGATTTGTTGTTAGATGAAACCCAGAGAAGTTGGATCCCACATAATGAGTGTTTGGGGTGGGGATTGAAGTTGGTATGGAAATTACCATTAAAGTGCAGATTAGGGGCTAGGCACTCTCCTGTTAGAAATGACTGTGTCTATCTTTCAGAGTGACCAAGAGGGAATGCAGTCTTCAGGCTTTGATAGATCAGAGTCCAGAGAAAAAGCTATTGGCTGCATCTTTCCCTGCCTGGGCCCTCTGGGGAAATTTCTTGCTCATAGGGACCCCAGGGCCCAGGGCTAGGAGAAGAGGCTCTGGGACTGGTGAAAGTTGAGATGTTTGGAGACCCTGGAAGTACACAGCTGCAAGGGCCTCTTAGAGACCAGGATAAGCCAGGACTGTACTGTGTGGGAGAACATTGTGTGAAATGGAGGGCATGGGCACACCAGGGCATGATGATTGGGTGGAAGGTTATTTCCTCATCTCTCTTTTCCTGTACTCCTTCTCTGCACACACCCACACACACCCCTCCACCTCCTAATGATGCAGGAAGAGAGAGGTTGCTGAGGCTGGGCCTGTGTCAGGGCTGGGGGAGGCCCCTATATGCCTGAAAGGATTGGGAGAGAAAGGATTGGCAGTCAGTGGGGGAGGGGCATCCTCCTCCAACCATAAATACAAATTTTATTCAAGGTCTTTGTCGCCATTTGTCTTCCTCGGGGGGGGGGGGGGGCTGAGAGCCGTGTCAGCCCCGTGCATGTCTAATTCCAGATCTGCTCCCCCAGGCTGGATGATGGATGGGTCAGAGAGGAGAGAACAGGCCTGGGCTCACACCAGCCTCCTCTGCCCAATCCTCAGGCCCTGTTCACCCCAGGGCCTGCCACCCCTCTCCTTCCACCTCTCCTCCCTCCACTCACCAGAAGCCCTCTCTGCCTGGCCACTCCCCACCCTACTCGTTCTACTCACCGGGGACCCCTTTTTGAGTCCCTCACTTCAGGCCCTTTCAGGTCCCAGTCCTCTTCTCTCTAGAGCTTCCCCTCTCCTCCCATCCCCAGCCTGGGCTGTGAGCTGCGGTGACCAGCAGGGCTGCAGGCTGCAGCGGGTGTGTGTGGTGGGGGGGAGCAGGCTTGGCTCACAGGGAGCTGAGGGGCCAGCTCCATGAATTTATTCATGTTCTGTTGCTCTTTCCCCACGCTCTGGAATGAAGCTGCCAGCTCACCAGGTCCTTACTGCTTCCCCTGCAGCTGTCACATTCGGGCCGAGGAGGGACCTGGGTAGGACTGAGGCTAGCCGGTGCTCCTGGGGCCAGAAGCCAAGTGTCTGGGCTCCAGGGAATGCTAGGGCCCAGGCTGGGGTCCAGACAGTTTACACAGTGCTCTTCTGGCAGCCAAACTGGGAGGGCCCAGGGAAGTGGTGTGGTTGGGAAGTAGGTAGAGAAGGGTGTGCTGCAGGACAAAGGGGCAGGGAGGTGGCAGGCAGTCTTTAACAGTCTCCTAGCCTCCCTCATTTAAAAGCAACACCCAGTCTGGATCCTGCATTAACCCCTACCCTTGACTCCGTACTAACCCTGCCTCTAATCCCATTTTATACATTTGACTCCTCTTCCATCCTAAAATAAATAAATTTCAACTCCATATAACCTGACTCTAGATGGAACCCACCCCCAGCTGTCCTGGAACCCAGGGGTATCCCCAGAATTTCACCCTAGGGCTATTGCTAGGTGTATGTCAGAGTTCTGAGGGCCAGACTTCAGATTAGCATGTGATTAGCATATGATTTGCATGTGATATGTGCCTTCTACTCTGCGGAAGTTTGCATGTTAAAATTTTATGAAGTCTAGCGAAAAGGTCCTGGCTCCTTGAAGGTTCTCTCTTTTTTGTTCCTTCTCTCACACTTCTTGTCACTGACCCAGACCCCCTCAAGGGAAGAAAGGGGGTGAGGAGGTGAATAAGAGGGCTCATGGGAGGGAAGACTATGGCAGTGACATGCCTCCATCACTTGCCTAAGCCTCAGTTTCCTCATGTGTAAGAAGAGAGGAACCTGCTCTTTGATGTTCCATTAAGATCTTAGAGAGGACTTTTTTCCCCCTTGCACTCTCTCCTTCCTCTCCTTTGGGCCAGTCATGGTGTGTTTCTCCCCACCCCTCCCACACTCTGGCTTTCCATTCCACATGGAAAATCACACAGAGCCTGAAGCAGCCTGAGTTGCCCAGTACCAGACCCCTGGTATGACGAGAAAGGAACTTTGCTCACCTGAGAGGACAGGGGATAGCATGGAAAGGGAAATCACGAAATTGAGTGCTTATTGTATTTTAGGGCTTTTAACATGTAAGCACTGATTGCATCCTCACATAACCCTGAGGGGCGGATATATTGTCCCCACTTTACAGATAAGGAAAGGGGAAATGGCTTGTCTAGTGTCAGCCTGTAAAGGGGCAGTGCTAGAATTGGAGTTATGATCTCCTAGCTTCTCTCTCAGTGCCTTGGAGGAGACAAAAGGCACCTGGGGCAGTGGAAGGGTGAGACAGGCAGGACAGGGATGAGCATTGAGATTTGAATGGGTCTTGAGGAAACCTATCTGTGTGAGGCCAACAGGTAGGGTCTTGGTTTTGGGTGCCCCCCAACTTCCAGCCCAGCTCTGTCAATCCTGACACCCAACAGGCGCTCCACTATCGGCTAATGGGTGTCCAAAGTTGGTTGCAGAGAACTGTTCAGGTGGAGGAGGAGAAGGCGGAGAAATGGGAGGGAAAGGAACACGAAGCAAGCCAGAGGAAAATTTACCTAAGTGGCGAAAAGGAGGGCTGAAGTGGGCTCTCCTCCTTCCACCTCGGGTGGGAAAATAGTCGTAGCCCAAGACCTGCACACACTTTGCCTCCTTGCAAAGACTACCGACATGCCTCGCCGCCGCCAGGTCCAAGGCTGCCACTTATCTGCCAGCGTCCCTGGCCCCTCAGTGCAACCTTGAGTTCAAAGAGTAGCATCAGGGCCCACAGAGCTAAGGACAAGCTCTTGGCTCTGCAGAGAGAGGGTAAAGATTGCTTCCAAGGTGTTAGGCTAGAGGGCGAAGCTGATTTACTTCCACTGGCCCGACCCCTGGCCAGGTGAGGCTCCTAACCTCCTCCTCCTTTCTCTACCTCCCTTTGCGCCCCCTCCTGGCCCCCACTGCTCACCTGCTCCAGCCTCCAGTTAATGAAATGTGGGGATAGGCTGCACAGACCGCTTGCAGACCCCTCATTTCTCTGCTGGGATATCTGATCCCGCTCTGGAAGACAGACAAGTGGGAGGAGGGAGCCGGGAGCCGAGGGAGGGGCGCGGACTGGTGAGAGCCCGGAGCTCAGGAGGTAGCGCTAAACTTCAACTCTCCAAGGCTCTACTAAGCGAGGTAGGCCCTAAGATACTCTTTCTTCCTGGGGCCCCTAGCTCTTTCCATTTCTCCGACTAGCAGGAGACTTAACGAGCCCCACACCCACTGCACCCAGACCCAGGTGGACCCTGGACTCCTGGTCCCGCAGCCCAGGCAGACCCGGAATCAGTGCGCCCCATGCACAGCACCTCGGAGCCGGCGGCCCGGGCCGGGTGCTTCCGCCCGTCTCCTTCCATCCCTTCCCTATTGCTCCCCCTCCCTACTGCACTCCCTCCCCGGCGGCCGCGGCCTTTATTAGGGATTCCGCGGCTGTCGGTCCCGCCATCCATCCTGTCCGCCGGCAATTAGGCGGCCAGACAAAGAGCAGCTTCGGATGGATGAGGGTCCCGGCGGATCGGAAATGTGAAGGGTCAGCGCTGCCGCCCGCGGCGCACCCGGCTCCCCCTTCCGCATAATCACGGGCCGCCCGTCACTCAACCGGCCGCCCGGGGAGCTCCCGGGCCCGGCCCGGGAGGGGGCGGGGGCGCGACTGCAGCCTAGGTGCCTAGGGCAGGGCGAGGGCGGACCTGCAGCAGGGGCGCCTCCTGCCGGAGAGCAGAAGACCTGCAGCCCCAGGCTCCTGGAAAGGGGAGTCGGGGTGAAATTATGGCCTTGGGCGTTCCCTGAAGGGGGACTGGGGGCCAGCGGCCTGGGGCCTCCCGGTGAGAAAGCAGGGGACAATAGCTGCGGGAGACAATAGCTACTATCCAAGAGGATACAGTTCCAGGGCGCTCCCTGCTGCGAGGCTTGGGGACGAAGCCTCAGGGTCGAAGCCGGATGCCCAGGGCGACCCCTCTCAGGGCAACTCTAGCCTGCTGCGTCTCCTATCGGAATAGAATGGCACTGCACGTTTATTCCCTGTCTCTCTTTAGTGAAATACAACGCATCCACATCAAGTTAAGAAAAGCTCCAAGTCCTGAAAAATCCGAGTAGAGCAGAGAAGTTGTTCAGGGAGTCCAGGTTTTACTGTGGATTCTTTGGCGCTAGCTCCCAGCTGACAAATCAACATCTCAATCTGACAATTAGTGGTCCAGGTGGGGGGAGAGGGGCTCTCTCACAGCCCGGGCCCGCTTAGCCCTCCCCGGCGGGAGGCAAAGAGGTGGGCTGGTTCTGGCAGTGATGAACGACTCCAGGGGGGCCGGGCCCCGAGCGCGCATTCATTACTCGACTGACAGGCGGGCCAGGCGGGCTGTGAGTGGACTTGTCGGAAAGAGGCCAGGGGCAGAAGGGGGAGTGAGGGAAGCATTTAACAGTCCCACCGCTCCCCCTGCTCCCAGTTCTTCGCCTCAACCCCGGTGCTTCCTCGAGCTCCGCCTTCTAGTTGTTGGAAAATTTGGGAAGCAGGGACGGGGACCTAAATCCCTCTCCTTGGGTTGGACGACTTAAGGTCTGAGACGTCAAGAAATGGTGTAGACAAGCCTTAGGACTAGGCACTTCGGCATGACCTTTGAGGAATTGTGCGTGATCGCGCACTCAGAGATGGTGTATGCGACAGGGATTGATGGGTGTGAATCTCGCGTGGGGATCAGTGACGATGTATGTCAGAGCTAGGGATGTGTTGGCCTGATTTTGTCAGTGGAGGTGTGAGATTCGCGTGTCTGAGGATGAGCCACCACCTCTCCCTGCGTGTATGTCCCCTCACCCCCCCCCCCCAGTTTGCTGTCAGCTCTGTCTCCAGTTCTGGAGGAAATGGCAGTGCACACAGTGACAGCTGAGGTGTGCTGCTGGGGGGGCGGGTGGTGATGGATGTTAACTGTGAGAGTGCTGGTCAGGACAGCTGTTCCTTCTACCACCTTCGCCACAAACATCACCCTTTCCCCAAGCACCTTGCAAGTAGTGGATGGTTTTTTCCCAAAGTCTGGAGACCTAGTTTCTGAGTCCTGGGGAAGGCAGTGATTACCATCAGAGTTCTCTACAGCCCATATCCCAGCCCCCTACCCTACACAGTCTCCAATATAAGATGTGATCTCCAACCCATCTAGCCTCCTGGTGGTAGTCAGAGAGGAGGAGGTAGATGTTGAGCAGACACAAGGTGATGCTCGGGAAGGGAAGGGAAGGGGCAGACCTTCAGACCTGTGAGAGAATTCATCTCTTTGGGGCCTGGACTAGCAGCCTCTGGGACCCTAACCTTTTGGATGTCAGGTCCAGTTCCTTACCAGTTGACACCTTTGGGAGGATAAAGCTAACTGTACTCTAAGTCCTCTCCCTAATAACTCTTTCTTTGTCTAGGTTTGTCCCCACTCTCCTCCTCCGTTCTCAAAAACACCTAGAAGTTGAGCCTGGCTTCCTCCCCAGCCCTGAGTCTCCTGGGTCTATAGAGCAGACAGTTGGGGTGACTCTGGTCTCTGGCTCCCTGTTTTATTCAGTGACTCTATGACATCTTCCCTTTTTGCCTTGCTGTTCCTTAGAGCTGGAATACTTCTTGGAGCTTCTATATCTTTATCTCGGTACCATTCTTTATGGCTGCATGTTTCCACCTTTAGGGATTTCTTCCAAATTAGTCTCTCTAATTTGGGGGGCTCTCTTTGTTCCTCTTGGTTCCTCTAAGAATACCCTAGCCCAGCAGTGAGTCCCACAGGGATTGGGGTAGAGAGAGCAGGGTTTCCTTCCTGCTCCCATCCAGAGGTGATCGCTAACCCAATGACAGTCAGGCCCTGTCAGGGCCCGGGCACGCCTGGGTCACTTCTCATTCTGGGCACAGGCGCTTGGTCGATGCCCTGCTGTCCGTCCCCCCTCCAAACCGCCCTCCTCCTGGCCCCCGCCCCCTCCTCCCGCCTGGAAAAGGCAAATTTGACATTTTTAAATCCCGAGCCTTAGAGGGATCGATGCGGCCCGGGGGCCCCGCCCGGGGTCGATATTCCTGATTGGGAAGCGGCCGCAGCGCGGAGCCCGCGTGTAAATCACCCCGGCCTGGGGGAGGAGGCGCAGGGAGCCTACAGCGTCCCAGGCACGCTAAGCTTGGCAGGGTCGAGGTCCGGGCGGGACCCTAGGGCGACATAAGGGGAGCACAACAGACCTTAGAGAACCAGAGAGAAGCCCGCCCAGAGCCTCCCCCCTCCTCTGCCAGCCCTGCCAACTCCCCCGGCCGGCTCCAGTCGCGCTTCAGCGGCTGCCACCCTCCGTTGCCCCTGGAGCCGCCCGGGAGGCCAGTGTCGGAGCCAGCCATGCGGCGGCTCCTCTCTGGCCGCTCCCGCGGGGCCGGGGCTTCGGCGGCGGCTGTCACGGAGCCGACAGGCCGGGCCAGCCGGGAAGGGGCGGGTGGAGGGGGAGAGGCGGCGGGGGAGGCTGGCGCAGCTCAAACACTCAGTGGGGGCGCAACAGATGTTTGTCGAATTGAGGGACTGCAAGGTGGTCTGGGATGCATAGCGGCGTGGGGCAAGGGGTCGGAGGGAGCCAGCTGGGGAGGAGGCAGCCCAAACCAGGCGAGGGCCGAAGCCTCACTCTTGGGGTGAGCAGGCACTCAAGGGCGCTCTGGGGACCGCTGGGCTGGGTTAGAGACCCCCAACCCCCGCGGGGGAGACCTGTGTAATAAAGAACAAGAGAGAATAGGGTGGACAAGGGAGTTTGGGCCCCACCTGCAACCTCCTCCGCTGCCCCTGGCCTCCAGTCCTTGCAGCGCTCTGCTGGGGAAACCGAGGCCGCTGAGGCTGAGAAGGACCAAGAAGGTTAAAAGTGGGGTCAGCGACAAGGCTGGGGCAGTAGCCAGGATTCCTACGTGGGTCTCTGGATTCACCCACTTACCCTGGGTCTGCTGGCGGGCAAATACACCACCACACCTCTCTCCGCAGCTCAGACCCTTCTCTCCTGCTTCAGCTTGTCAGATCCCCCACCTCCCACCCCACGCCAGTTTATAGAACAACAATTTGGGGAAAACAATCCGGGCCGAGTGACGGCCCCGTAATTGTGACAAAGTGAGTGCGGGCGGCTGGAGAGAGCGCTAGGGCGGGAGCTCTGCGGGGCGAGGCGGAGGCCCGGGCGCCTCCCGCCCTCCCTGCAGCCCCTCGTTCTCATTCTGGTCACCTCCCATCCCTCTCCTTGACTTCTCCAATTCCTCTTCTCCCGGCCCCTTGCGCCTCCCTTCGCTTGTTCCTCCATCGCTCTTCCCTTTCCTGCCGGTAACAGCTCCTCTCCCGCTCCCCACCCTCTCGCCACCCCTCCCCCTCCCCGGTGAGCTTTTTCCTTGCCCACTTCTCCCTCTCTCCTCCGCCCTCCACTCGTTTCTTCGTCTTTTGCTGGCGCTTATATTGCCCTTGGGCCCCCGGCTCTCGCGGCACAATCCGCTTCTCTCCCTTCCCAGTCGTCGCTCCCTGAGGTCGAGTCCTGAGCCCCCATCCCAACCCCCACTCCCCTGGGAGGCCTGCGCAGCCCAGTACTCCTGGGTTCCTCCAGCCGCAGAGCTGGCAGCGGGCTGCGGCCCAGGGGGCTCTGGCGGCCAGCCCCTTCTCTCCCTCTCCTGCGGCTGCCGCCCCCACTCCGCTCCCGGTGCCTGAAGCTAGTTTGTTTGTCCAGAGGCCGCCGCTGCCGCTCGCGATGTTTGCCAAGCTTAGCGCGCAGCAGCGGCGCAGTGCCTGCCCAATTAAGTCTCATTCATTATTCAGTGCCCCTGTCCGCCCCCCCCCCCGCCCCCAATGGGCTAGGGAGTCGCTTTCGGGCCTCTCCCAGCCCAGGCCCCTCAGTGATCCCTAAGGAGTCAGGTGGGGAGCCGTATTTTCTCCCCTGGCTGGGATAAGGACTGAGGGGACAGAAGCACTCTGCCTACTGCAGGGCGATGACAATGGTGAGGTGCACCGGGCTCAAGTTAAGACGTGGGGACCTTGGAGATCCAAGCCCCTCCTTTACAGAGCAGGAAATTGAGGCATAGAACCCAGGACTGGAGGCAGGGACACTGAAATGAAGGCATCTTGCATCCCAGCTCCATACCAGCACGTAGGCGGCAGAAAAGCGGATTCCCTGTCCTCTGAGTCTTGGGCTGCCGCCTCGCTCTCCTGGTGGGGCGCTCCCAACCCTCTATCCCTTTTTGCTCCTGTTTTTCCCCTCTCGCTCATAGCTGGCGGGAAAGAGCAGCCTCGGGGCTTCCACTGGATCAGGAGGCTCCTCAGGTCTCAGGCCCACCTAGATGTGGAGCCCCATAACTGGAAGATCTGGAGGCAGAGCAGTGAAACAAACTTGAGGAGGAGGAGTTTGAGGCAAACTCAGGATGGGGCCGTCCCTCCTTGCAGCCCGTCCATGGGTTTCTCTGCCTTAGAGGAATTGGAAGTGGAACCATGCACCGTCGTGTTGAACAGCAATGGAGTGTGGAGAGACGAGCAAGCAGCCAGAGGTGAGGGAGGAGTCACCCTCCCATATGCTGGGGGGAAGGAGCAATCAAGGGCGTATTCTGGCATTTATGCCTGTCTTTTTTTTTCAGCGCCACACGTGCGACTGTCTCCATGCTCCCGCCGGGCAGTCCCTCCGGAGAAGCCGCGGTGGGCTGCTACTCCTGGGCTTCTGGACAAGGTGAGTCTGGGGACCCGCCCGGACCCGCCCTTCCATAAGCCGCAGCGCCACCTGGCGGTCGTGGTGCCGCGGTGCAGGAGGCGCGCTCGGCCTGGGGTGGGGCGCTGCACCAGCAGGGTTAGAGCTGGATGCGTCTGGAAAGCCTTCAACGGAGTTTCCCTGAGAGGGCGGGCGAGAGGAGTTGGGGCGGGAGGGTGATCCCCAGAGGACCAGGGAGGGCCTTTGGGAGGGGGAGGGGCCTGCCCCAGGGCGGCCTGACTTCGGTGACGAAGCAGACACAGAAAGACAAAGTCCATTTGGATGGAAGTGGGAGCTCAGTGAGAGGGGCCATTTTGACTCTGGTGACGGGAAATGACTGGTCTGGCGCGGCCTGGGAGCGGGGCACCCAGGTAGGGCTGCTCAACCTGGGACTAGCGGGTACTGGCTGGTGGTCGTGAGGCCTGCTCCACGTAGAGGGGCGACTGGCAGCTACGGTTTGGCATCTGGTTTGATAATCTGAGCGTTTGTCCAGCTTTGGAGAGGCTTTCCAAGTCTGCCTCAGAAGGAGATGGTTGAATTGGGGGTGCCAAGGTGTAGGTCAAAATGTAGTTTTCCGAGATGTTTAAGTGGAGGGAATTCAGGGCCCCTTTCAAGTTTGCCTCGTGGGAGTATCTCCTGGCTTAGAGAGAAGGGAAGGCTGGAGAGGCGCTAAAGCCTGGGCCAGGAGTCCAGGGTAGCCATAGTTGGAGTTAAGGAAGAGAGGAGAGGGAAGGGGCTTTCAAAATGCATGGGAACTTTGGAAAGGCTTTGTATTCACACTCCCTCAGAGAGTCATTCCAGGGTCAGTGGTCTGAGGGGAGGTGTGAATTTAGATAATCTTCTCCCCTTAATTTGGAGTTGCTGTGTTTGTAAAGAACAAGACTGAGGTGCTGGGATAGAGGACATGGGATAACTAGCATTCCAGGGATTCAGGTAGTTCTAGACTTGGCTTTAATTAGAAAGAGAAATGGTTACTGTGTTGGGCCTGGATATAGTCGTGTGTCTCTGCTTTTTTCCATCTTTTAGGGTCTAAGGATAACTCTGGGGCCATCATGGTCATGATTCTCACAGAAGACCCTGAGATTTCTGTACTTGAGCAGTGTCAGGTGCCACCAGACTCCTTCTGAGACCCTTGCCCTAGAGGATGGCCAAGGGGCTCCTGGTGACCTATGCTCTTTGGGTTGTAGGGGGTCCTGCTGGGCTCCACCACTTGTACCTGGGAAGGGACAGCCATGCCCTGCTCTGGATGCTTACCCTGGGTGGGGGTGGGCTGGGCTGGCTCTGGGAGTTCTGGAAGCTCCCAAGCTTTGTAGCTCAGGCCAACAGAGCCCAGGGCCAGAGGCAGAGCCCAGGAGGGGGGACACCCCCTTTGAGTCCCATTCGCTTTGCTGCTCAGATGGTAGTGGGCATCTATTTTGGCCTTGTGGCTCTGATTAGCCTTTCTTCCATGGCCAACTTCTACACTGTGGCCCTCCCACTGGCAGTTGGCTTAGGGGTCTTGCTGGTGGCTACTGTTGGCAACCAGACCTCAGACTTCAAGAACACTCTAGGAGCAGCATTCCTTACTTCCCCTATCTTCTATGGCCGCCCCATAGCCATCCTACCCATCAGCTTGGCTGCCAGCATCACGGCCCAGAAGCATCGCCGCTACAAAGCTTCAGTGAAGTCAGAGACACTCAGTGTGCGGCTCTACCGGCTAGGCTTGGCTTACCTTGCTTTCACGGGCCCACTGGCATACAGCACCCTCTGCAACACAGCTGCCACCCTCAGCTATGTGGCAGAAACCCTTGGCTCCTTCTTGAATTGGTTCAGCTTCTTCCCCCTTCTTGGCCGCCTCATGGAGTCTGTCCTCCTTCTGCCTTATCGGATCTGGAGGCTACTGGTGGGGGATCCCGGCTTCAACAGCAGCTACTTCCAGGAGTGGGAGAAGCTCTATGAGTTTGTTCAAAGTTTTCAAGATGAGAAGCGTCAGCTGGCTTACCAGGTAAGGCTTTCTTTTCTCTCATTCCTGCCTGGCATGGCTCTGGGTGTTAGGAGCTGGTGTTGCTGGAGCTGGCATCCCTCTTGTGGTAGTACTTTTCTCATTTCTGCCGGAAATGAGGAAGGAAGACATGCCCAGGAAGACTGTTCTATATTCTTTTGGCATCTGTGTGCAATGGGCAAAGGTTACAGAGGCTTTAATAGTGAGGGGGAAAAATATGTCTATTATTTACTTTTTATTGAGCTATAACATATATAAAGTGTGCTAATTTTAGACATACACCACTCAGATCAAGGTATGGAACATTTCCAGCACCAAGAAGTTTCCTTTGTAGCCTTTGGAGTCTATACTCCCACTTTCAGAGAGTATAGAGTAACCTCTATTCTGACTTCTATCACCATAGATTAGTTTTGGCCATTCTTGAACTTCAAATAAAAGGAATTATATAGCAGGTATTCTTTTGTATTTAGCATCTTTCATTCAACATTATGTTTATGAGATTTATTAATACTGTTGCATATAATTGTAAATTATTTATTTTCATTACTGTATAGTATCCCATTGTATGATTATACTACAATTTATTTATCCACTGTATTGTTAATGAACATTTGGGTTGTTTCCACTTTGGGGCTATTATAAATAAAGGTACTATAAATACTCTTATACATGTCTTTGGCGGGGACATATATACACTTATTTCTCTTGTGGGGAGGAGATGGGAGGAGATCTTATCAGAGATCTTGTGAAGTTCCAGGTTGGAACATGGGTTGGAACATGGGCAAACATGCGTTTGTGATTAAACGCAAATCCTGCCTCTTACCATGAGATCCAGAACTTGTCCATGTTTCAGAAGGCTGGAATTCTAGCCTGAGGTGCTGGTCTTTTCCCATGGGTAAGTAGAAGCCCATTCCAGAGATACCATAGCCTGATTAGCAAAGGTGCAGGAAAAGATCTAGGTGCCCTGAGAACTTGTGAGATTCTAATTTTCCGCTTCTGTTGCCATAAGGTTTTGGGCCTCTCAGAAGGGGCAACAAATGAAGAAATACATCGGAGTTACCGGGAGCTGGTAAAGGTCTGGCATCCTGACCACAACCTGCACCAGACAGAGGAGGCACAGAGGCACTTCCTGGAAATCCAGGCTGCATATGAAGTCCTGAGTCAGCCCAGGAAGTCCAAGGGACCCTGAAGGTGAGAAGAGACTTCCCCCCTAAGGAAGTCTCTTCCCAGCAGAGTTGGGCAGCTTGTCTGAAGTCTAGCTTTGCCCATGAGGGGCATTCCAGTAGCATTAAAGAAACTATCTGCTTGCAGTGGAGATGAGAAAACCTTAAAGGGGTAAGAAAGATTATGATAGAAGAATGTATTTATGTTCTGAATTTCTAAATTCTTACCTATTATAGTCTTGACTATTTTTCTTAAAACCAGAGAGTGAAAAGCATATTATAAAGCCAGTAACATATCTTTTAGAGTAGGGGTCCCCAACCTTTTGGCACCAGGAACTGGTTTCATGGAAGACAATTTTTCCACAGACAGGGGTGAGGGTGGCTGTGGTGGAGGTCTGCAGCCCTGTCCCTAACAGGTGTACCAGTCTGCGGCCTGGGGGTTCGGGACCCCTTTTTAGAGTATATGCAAATATTATATATCAATTTAAAAAGTTAGAAAATCTACCTATCTATCTATCTTAGCAAATATACCACTTTGTCCCACATCTGATACATTGATGGGTGGAGGAAGGTTATTTAACCTTTTTTTTTTTTAATGTGTAAAGTACTAGGTTAGGAGATTGAAGGAAAAATATAAAGTCTTTAATATTTTACAAGCTGTCCTATGACAAGAGGAATTTGATTTATTCCGTAGATTACTAAGGGGTAAGATTGGGGTTAAATTTTAAAATTTCAAAAAAAATTGAATTCTGTTTATAGGAGAGCTTTCTAGCAGCTACCCTTTTCCCAAGAAGGAACAAGCTGCTGTGGAGTAGGGGGTAGTCCCCCATCACAGAGTCCTCTGCTTGGAGGAGTATTTTTGGAGAGTTCTCAAATTTTACATAGGTGGTTTGACTGGTTGGATTCTCAAGTCTGCCAATACTTGAGGTCTGATTCTGAGCTACACACCCTGCTCCCTAGCAGCACACAGTCTGCTGGGGTATAACACCCCATCACAGATATCAAAGGTACACAGATATCAAAGTCCTTGTTCAGTGTTTTGAACCAAGTGTCGTAAGAGCTGTAAATAATGTATTGCAATATTGGAGGAGGACAGATAACATTGTTTTATGGGGGCTCCTGGAAAGATTAGTGATTTTATAGCTTGTGTATCCCTGGGGAACTTTGGGGAAACCCTAGGGAACCAGCATCTCGAAGGGGCCTTATTTAATTTTAGGTAACTAGCCAGGTGTGAGAGAAGGAGCCCAGGATGTCTCAGTTTTCTGAGGAAGACTGGAGACCAAGAAAATGATATCAAAATTACTTATCCTGATTACAACTCTTTTTTATGTGTGTACAATTTCTATGCTTTTTTTTCTGTTTTCTGGATGTTAACGAGTAGTGTATATATATATAAAATATATTTTTTAAAGTAGAATTATGTTGGCTAATATTTTCTAAAGATTAATAAAAATGGTCTGATCAATTAAGAGGAATGAAATTTGTAGGTGTTTTTTCTTACATTAATATATACAAAAACTTAACATTTTTGCCATTGAATTCACTTATATGTCATGATTTCAAGATCAAATTAACTTTCATATCTTTTTTTTTATTTTGGCATATTATGGGGGTACAAATTTTAAGGTTTCAATAAATGTCCTTTACCCCCCCATACCTTTTTTTTTTTTTTTTTTTTTGAGACAGAGTCTCACTTTGTTGCCCAGGCTAGAGTGAGTGCCCTGGCGTCAGCCTGGCTCACAGCAACCTCAATCTCCGGGGCTCAGCGATCCTACTGCCTCAGCCTCCCGAGTAGCTGAGACTACAGGCATGCGCCACCATGCCCGGCTAATTTTTTGTATATATATTTTTAGTTGGTCAATTAGTTTCTTTCTATTTTTGGTAGAGACGGGGTCTCGCTCAGGCTGGTTTCGAACTCCTGACCTTGAGCGATACGCCCACCTCGGCCTCCCAAAGTGCTAGGATTACAGGCGTGAGCCACCGCGCCCGGCAATACCTTTTTAAAGTTGCCAAAAATTGATATATGTTTCCTTTGAAAAACACAGTTTGTCAGATTATCCCATGGAATTTTAATGGGCTACTAATTAGTAATTTATTAACATGATATGTAGCACTGTATCTGCAAAATGTAAATATATTAAAAATAGTCTATAAGAAAAAAAGAGGCATTTTCCAGCAAACTGCAGGCCATCTGCATTTCAGGAGTGGAGTCGGCAGGACAAACTCTACAACCATGGGGGAACCTGTGTCCATCTCTTTTGCAAGCCAGCCTTTTCTGCCAACGACCCACTTGTACTTCAAGAGGCTCTCAGCATTGGGAGTCTCTGTCCTATGTAATCCTCCTGGTGACCCAGATGGGACAAAGGGAGACACCCAGCTGGACCCCAAATTAAGACTGTGTGGCACTAGTAGGACCTGAAGGACAGTTCCCTGACAGGCCTGAAGAAGCCCCCATGTCTAACAGAAAGTCTGTTTAGTATGTGGATGACAACAAGCATCCCAAAGGACTCTCCCCACTAGGATGCCTTCTCAACAATTGGAATAAATTGAAGTTAGAAAGTCTAAAAAAAAGAAAAAAGAAAAGAAAAAGAAACCAAGGCGTGATTAGGGGCTCTGCTAGATTTGGAAAATTATTTTACTGTTCTTAAATTTTGTTATGAGTTTTTGTTACAAAATATGGATATATTTTATTTTATTTGAATGGGAACTACTGATGAGCAGCTCTTGTTTTTCCAACACGAGCAAGGTTACAATAAATATCTTTGAATATACATACTGATGCTTTTTGTTTTTTTGAAGCTAGATTCCAATAAGTGATAATGTAGGGTAAAACCAAAGACATGTTTTAAATTTTGATGGATATTGTGTCAGGTTACTTCCGGAAAAGGTGGTAACAATTTACAATTCCATCAGCATGTAAGAAAGTGGCCTTTTCTTTGTAAATGCCCTGGAGTAGTATCACCCTTAAATTTTTGTCAAGATGATGGGTGAGCAATAACATCTAATCGCTTTAATTTGCATTTTCCTGACTCCTAGTGAAGTTTTTCAAATGTTTATTGGATATTTGCATTTCCTCTTCAGTGAATTGCTTAATTGTACTCTCTACCTGTTTTTAAATTGCATTCCTATTTGTCTCTATCAAATCTATTTTGTTGATATCCTTGCTTGTTAGAAACCTTAACTATTTGTAATATGTGTTGTGGATATTTTTTCCCAGTCTATGACTTGGCTTTTGACAATAAGCATCGGTTTTAGAGTCAAAAAGGACTAGCACTAGGATTTGAATCTGGGTCCATGATTTTCTAGCTGTTGATCTTAGATTTCTTTAGCCTCTGGGAGCCTTAGTTTCCTCTAAAATTGAGATAATAGTATCTACTTTTAAAGGGTTGCTGTGATAAAGAAGATAGCATATGTAGAATGAGCAAATGTATTAATAATTAGTAGTTCCCTTTCTCTCTTTCAGCCTATGTAAGGAAATAGGGCTTAAATGCCCTGTGAGGTTAGCTGGTATAGAATGAAGGTTCTACCTGTAAGGCTGAGTTTTCCTGGAGTATATTAGTGTATTTTGTATTTGTAAAAAATTACCTCTTGGCCGGGCGCGGTGGCTCACGCCTGTAATCCTAGCTCTTGGGAGGCCGAGGCGGGCGGATTGCTCAAGGTCAGGAGTTCAAAATCAGCCTGAGCAAGAGCGAGACCCCGTCTCTACTATAAATAGAAAGAAATTAATTGGCCAACTGATATATATATGAAAAATTAGCCGGGCATGGTGGCGCATGCCTGTAGTCCCAGCTACTCGGGAGGCTGAGGCAGAAGGAT